AGCATTACGTGCAATGCAAGGGTATCCAGGAAATATTAAGCAAAAACTTGCCATATTCCTCATGAATTATAGAAAGGCTCCGAACATGACCACCTTGTTAAGTCCAGCAATGTTATTCTTAAAAAGAGGAATTGATTTAACTCGATTGATTTTTATTTTTGACTCGAATTCATTTAGTTATTCCAAATCTTAAACGAAAAGTGGAAGAACGCATCCGAAGGAATACTTACAATTTCAAAGACAGAAATTTTGAGATCAGAGAAGTGAAGCTGTGCACACTTCAGCTGGACTTGAAACATCATCAGTTCCAAGGAAAACTGAGCCAGTTATTCAAGTGAATCCTGATAAAGAGTTGCAGCAACCCCTACCTGAACTTAGACGATCTTCGCACATCCGCAAAACAAAGAAGTGAAGCTGTGCACACTTCAGCCGGACTTGAAACATCATCAGTTTCAAGGAAAACTGAGCCAGTTATTCCAGTGAATCCTGATAAAGAGTTGCAGCAACCCCAGCCTGAACTTAGACGATCTTCGCACATCCGCAAAACTCCTCACAGATTGAATCTCTAAAGTGGGGAGGGATGTAGCATCTGATTTCGAGAGTATCAGTACACATATACCCGAGAACCTCTGTGAACGAGAGTAGAGTAAAATGTAATGTAACTGCGTAAATAGTGCATCGCTGCTGTCTTAGAAATAAATGTTTGTGCCGTGAACTAGTCTGTTTTGGTTGCGTCACGCACTTCACTGAACCCACACCGCCAGACACAACATGTACTGCCTGTGACGTGCAGTCCTTGGGAAAGGGGCAATGTTACGAATTTTCTATACATGTACTTTCAGTGAAATTATATGTAAATTGTAGCATCTTTTGTATAATGAATGATGAAAAGCCTTTGGAATGTGAAGCATCACTGGAAAAATAGGTGTACCTGCTATCTCGCTAAAATGATTTGGGCGACTAATTTTTTTCGCCAGATTCGGCCAGAAATTGCCTATTTGGTCTCACCTCTATGTAACTGTATCTGGCCCTATATAAGAGTAATCGTGTACAACTACCAGGAATTTTGAAAACTTGAAGTTACTGGATATTTCTTGGGCAGATGGGGAAAACTATACATAAATAAAAAGAAAGCATGGCTGGGAAGTTCAGAATACTGAGAGATCACCGAGTGAGATTTCAGTTTTAAAGCGCTTTGCATTGCCTTTTGTTTGACATTCTTAGTAGTTTGAAGTGGTAATTACCGACTGTGCTCTGTAATTCTTAGATGAGCTGTTGAAGTACTTTTGTATGGAACACTCCAGAATTGTGGTTTTGGAAAAGAAAATTTCTGGGTGCACTTAAATCATTACGAAACCACACGCATGTTTCATTTGGTTTGAAGTTCAGAATGTTAAAATTCCTACGTATATTTATTTTTTTTCTTCCTCGTATATAATTAATTAATAAAATTCCTGCTTTTATAATTAATAAACATATTCTTCATAGACACAATAACACGCCGAATAAATACTAATTCAGAAGTCAAACAACAAAAATCAGCGTTATATTTACCAAATTTTCCCAGGACTAGTTTTCGATGGTTTTACCGAACCACCATCTTCAGCTGCAAAACCGCAAATGAACCAGATAGGAAATAATGATTAGATAAGATAAGAAAGCCTGGACAAGAATAAGCAAGTGGCGCCATCTGTTGGTAAAACCAGAACTAAAACAATTTCTTTTTGCCTTCGGCCTTTAAAGTTCGGTTTAGTTCTGGTTTTACCAACAGATGGCGCCACTTGCTTATTCTTGTCCAGGCTTTCTTATCTTATCTAATCATTATTTCCTATCTGGTTCATTTGCGGTTTTGCAGCTGAAGATAAGATGGTGGTTCGGTAAAACCATCGAAACTAGTCCTGTGAAAATTTGGTAAATATAACGCTGATTTTTGTTGTTTGACTTCTGAATTAGTATATTCTTCATATTTCACACATCACAAACCAGTTTTTTCCAATTTTCATTGATTTCACATCATTGTCTGTATTGTAATCTATTCATCTTACTCATATTTATAACTAATAAACAAATTTTTCATATTTGACACATCACAAGATAGTCATTTTGTCACTTTTCATCGATTTTACAACTTGATGGAAATGTGACATTTCTAATAGAAACATTCCATCCCACCAAATTACGAACAGGCATTAGACTTGACTTTGAATTTCAATTTTTCGAAGATAATTACACTTTCTTGAGGATAAACACATTTTTTTACAACGTAACAACATAGAAATAAGTGCGACTTCATTTCTTCTCTCTGAACTGACCGTTAAAGTTTTCAACTGTGCACTTATCAATCATGAAATATTAGATTTTGTCAGCAACAACAAAAGTCCTTTCATTTGACGAAATGAATGATTACTTTAACATTGCATGTCATATTCCATACCATCATGTGTCAGCTGTGTGAGATTAAATGCCACTTACAATACATGATTTTTGATTCAGTCCATCCATCACTTCTGGGTTGGTCCGACCCCTATGTAACTGTATCTGGCCCTATATAAGAGTAATCGTGTACGTCTATCAGGAATTTTGAAAACTCGAAGCTAATGGATAAATATCCATTGGCAGATGGGGAAAACTATACGTAAATAAAAAGAAAGCATGGCTGGGAAGTTCAGAATATTGAGAGATCACCGAGTGAAATTTCACTTTTAAAGCGTTTTGCATTGCCTTTTGTTCAACATTCTTAGTAATTTGAAGTAGTGATTACTGACTGTGCTCTGTAATTCTTAGACGAGCTGTTGAAGTACTTTTGTATGGAATCCTCCAGAATTTTGGTTTTGGAAAAGAAAACTTCTGGATGCATTCAAATCATTACGAAACCACACACATGTTTTATTTGGTTTGAAGTTTAGAATGTATATATGTTAGTAACACAGTGTTACATATAAATCTAATATGCATCTTAAATCATGCTTTTGAAGCATATAAAACTATAAGTGGAATTTTGTCAATCAACTGATTAGAATGACTTACACAGAACTGTCTTCCTTCCCTTTTTTGCTCAATGTACTATATCACATGTATTATTTTAGAATTACTTCCTTTAAACCTTGTTCAAAATTAGATTTCTCAACAATCATGATGAATAGCAAACTTTTCATATTAATTTTTATGATTTCTAATTTGAAAAAACTAGCCATTTACCGTATATACTCGCGTATAAGTCGACCCCCCCCCACTTCGACATAACAAATTCGTAGAAAATAAGAAACCCGCGTATAAGTCGATCCCCCACTTCCGAAATCGATCGAGAAACTTCGGAAAAATTTTTTTAAGTACTACATTTATTCAAAATCATCTGAGAAAAAAAGTAAATATACGATAAAAAATACCTTGGTAAATAAACAAAATCAAATTCCTTCAATGTCTGATTCATGGTCAGATTCGCCAAACATTTCATAGAACTCTTCTGTCGTCATTGGCTCATCATCATACATATTTTCAGTCTCAAACTCTGTATTGTTACAATCACTACTACAGCCTTCGTCATTTTCACTTTCAAAAACAGCATCATCTTCCGTGCCGTCTAGTTCGTTGCTAATACAATACTTTTTAAATGATTTTATAATCATTCAGAGGGTATTTCGCAGGCATTCGCATTTTTTAGGGGCAAAAACATAAAAATTTCCAAAAGTCTCCACAATTATGGCCACCACTGTAGTTCGTCACATAATTTAAGTCATGAAATTACTTCAAGTAAGTGACTTATTTGATAAGTCATCCAATTCAAGTGCGGGAAGAAAACAACTGCATTATACAAAGAAATTTTTGAACTTCCGATTCTTTTAAATTTTTATGGCCCCGCGTATAAGTCGACCCCCCCACTTTGAAATCTTTTTTTTGCCCAAAATATCTCGACTTATACGCGGGTATATACGGTAATACAAACTACAGTAACTTTCTCATTCAGGTTCCAAGCACATTTTAGCAAAAGTATTAAATTAAAACCAATAGTGTCTCTCACAATTTAAAATAAAATAAGGTAAAAATATATTTCAGGGTGCCCCTTGGCGAAAATTGGTGACTGGCCAGCAAGGCACAATTCCAAGATGGCCACTATACAAAACCAAAGTAACAAGTCAAAGACCTTGCACAAACTCGGTGTCCATACATACATTGATCTGTTTTCACTTAAAGAATGATGATGTCGTATAATGTTAAAAAAAAGTTACTCATCACGAAAACTGAACAAAATTTGCAGCCAATCGAAGCTCAATAAATTGCATTTTATGTCATACAATGAAATAACAAAAAAGGAAATGCATTTTATTGCATCAACACACTACAAAAAGGAAATATCAACTTATCACATTTAGAAATCTCTGTGTCTTCAGTCTGTGGCACACAAAATTCCACACCAGCATCCCAAAACTTTCTAAAATTATCTGAACTAGAATATGCACACTGCCGTTCACTACATACTTTCACATAAACCAGAGTAAAATATATCCTCCACAATCGCAGACTGTTGGTGGCATTTCTTGCAACAAACCCATCTGGACGATCTTTATGTTCAAACATACACATTTCTTTTGTACAAATAGGACACTTATAATGACTAAACTTTCATTTACACAACAGTCAATTAATGCTTTTATTCCCTTTCGTTCCAAATTGTACGGAAACTTCAGATTAATCTCATCACATACGAGCGATTTTACAGTGAAAAGCACAAAATAAGCAACATACCTCCTAACTGATATCCAACTCAGAAATAAGCTCTTACAAATACTTTAACATCAGTCAAATTCACCGCAATCACACAACCAATCATGTCACGATAGGGTTTCCATAACATTCAACTACTCGGTTACCATAAATGGAACAACTTGACCGATAATCCAAAGGCCACCCTAAAATATAGACTAACCTAAAATAAATTTAAATTATTGAAATGTATTTTTCAGTTCATAAAATAGCTCTATATAACACTGAAAGATTACAAATATATTTCAGAAAGCTTTATTGTAGTTCAGACTTTAATGAAAAATGTACAAGTTAAAATTCTTTCTTGCATATAAAATTAAGCAAATGAAAGAACCAAACAGATACACATATGCTTAAAGGATTGTTTATATAAAATAAGCTCAGTATCACTGCTTAAATAAATTACACAAAAAGGGGCTCTTTACGATTCTTTAGTAATATGTAAGAGAACTAGCAATTTTCTCAAATAAAAACTTTAACTGAAAAATTATCTAATAATTTGATCTATATAAAACATAATTTACACAAAAATCTAACATTAAAAAAAATGCTTCAAACTGCACTGATATTTATTAACCCCCAAATTCTAATATTTTAATCAAATGAAATCAGGCTTACAAAAATATTCTAAACATTAACAGTAAAAATTAGTTGCAGATAAGCCCTTTTATTATTTTGAGAAAACACTGCAGTTATTCACCAACATAACCAAAATATAATTTTCCATAACACTGCCCAAATTATTTTAATAAAAGTTCCAATTTTCAAATAACTTTTTCCACTGATAAAAGAATATTTCATTTTAAGATTATATTATTATTCTTTTGAAACAAGTTTGAATTGCAATCTTTCATAATTTTATATTGCAATAATACTGAGGGGGAACACATGGTAATTTACTATCAATCAGACAGTAAACCATCACTAGTTTCAATCTCCAGGTCTTGAATGATTTAGAAAATGATTTTTTTAAATATATTTATATAAAAATTAGCAAAAATTGCATTAACATATTCAAGATTGAAGGCTGAAATAAAGTATCATTTGGCAGTATGAATGACATTATGCTTGCAATATCTAATAAACTACTTATGCTTGCAATATCTAATAAAATTTTGATCAAATGGTTGAATATAAAATGAAAAATTTGACTTCGAGTTTAACCAATGATTACAAATTTGCAGATTTAACTTCATGTGGATGGCTGCACTAAATATAAATAAGAATACATATTAGCCATTTGTTATGGTTCAAAAGTTATGGTAACATATTTTTTTAAACCCTTTGAGTAGTTCATGCCTTTATCCAGTCATGAAATTTCTTGCCATAAAAAAAAAAAAAAAAAAAGAAAGAAAGAAAGACACGCTTCTCAGAGGGTTAAATAAATATTAACAGAAAGAATTCACACTGCACTTTCATTTTCCCCAAAACTGGAACTCTTTTATGATGTAAAATAATTACTGATTATTAATGTACAAGGGAAAGAAACTTCATTGGTTTCTAAGTTTCAATATATATTACAAAACTGATCAATCTAACATATTGAACACTTTCCTCGTTATTCAATATTGGTATAGATGCAATTTTATAATATGTTACCTCAAACCAATAAAGCACAAGCAGCAGTAAAATGACAATCTAATATATTCGAGTGGATATGAATAAAGATGATTTAACAACAAAATGTTTTTGGTCTCACACATAGAAAATGATATATGATATGGAAAATGCTTCCAGCCACTTTGCTGCAATACAGTCCTCCTCAAAACACCTGAGATTTCCATGTAGGAAGCACAAATACAGTTTAAATTTCACGAATAGTTTTGTAAAAGCACTTTGCACATGTTTTCAACGATCAATCAGACAATCCAAATGAAAGTTTTGGAAATTATCGAATCTCCATAATTAAAACTTGTGCTTTGTTGAAGTGATCGTGATACATTTTGAGCGACCACATTTATCTTGTCCTGAGTAGAAAAAAACTATGATGGTAACTCAGTCAAGCACTGCAAGAGTTTCAGGAGGTGCAGATGCAACAGCATTAGGCAAAGTGGTGTTCACTGCAGCAGGAACAATGGGAGGATTTTCATAATAAAAAGGAATTTTCAGGTTCAATTTCCTACATGGTTTACGTGCAGACCTTCGCAACTCAGGTATGGTTATCTGTCTTCTTAGTTTCCTATAGAATAAAAAGTTCTGATTTTCAAAAATATATAAATACGCATATCGAATAAGAGAAAAAAATACAAATTCTATAAAGTCATTTCAATTAACTTTTAAACCAAATATTCTATGCTGGTTTATATTCAATTTAAAAGTATAAGTGGCTAAATACTGAAATAAAAAGGGAGCTATTCTCAGGATGTTAGATGACTACTATTTGTTTCTCGGACAACTTTGTATAATAAATCTTAAGTTATTACGCAATTTTAAAATTTATTACACATACATTTTAAACTTAAAAAAATACTAATTATTTAATTTATTCATAACTATAAAGTATTTATGGCCTTACTAAACTGTTCACTGAACAGATCAGAAATACCGCTTGTTGCAATTTTCATGGCACCAACCCCCTGATGAAATGTTACAAGAAACGCAATACCTTGTCTGGCTTTTTTTTTTACTCTGCAAAGCTGGTTTTTGTTATTCCAGAAAGAATATGAATTTATTTATTGAATTTTTTACAAAATTAATTTATTTTACACATACACATTAACATGTCTTTCATGTGTATACACCTATTAATTTCAGTTACAAAAATGTTTTAAACAATGTTAAGATTCATATTTTGGCATTTTTAAATAAAAAAAAATAAGACAATAATTAAAAATCCTTACCTAATTTTTTACACAGTTTCTACAGTAAGTTAATATAAAATTCAAACGAAATATTTAATTTTAAAGTTTGAGATCATGTTCAGGTGTCATACACAAATTTAAAAATAAAATATCAGGGTAGAAAATGGTTTCTGATATTAATAGATTAAGTAACAAGTAATTGTTATGTGAGTTGCTGTGAAAAGTTGTAATGCAATCTTTTTCCAAAAAGGAGTTCTTATTCATAGATTATTACAGAACACATGTGGCAGGTTTCAAATACTGACATACAACCAACTCTTAAACATTATTTGCATAGAATGAAAAATATTTCTGGACCAATGAATTCTTTTGCACGACAGTAAGATTATGTTTATAAAGTAAGTGATGTATTTTTAGCATTTGAAAACTTCCAAATTACTTGTGTTAAAATGCTTTTGGCATAGCAATGTATTAAAATTATGAAATAAAGTTACATATTAGTACATCATGAAGGAAAATCAATGAATTACAATTAAATGGAGCAGAGGGAATCAAACTTGAATTATGCTAATTTATTTCTTTACCCACTCCTTTAAAAAGGGTTATGAAAGAGATTTTTCTGGCACTATAAAATCGATTAAAATTTCAAAGGTTAAAATCAAATATTCTGGCTAATTTTTGTAGTACCAGAACTAATTTTTTTTTGTATTTTTTAGACAGAATATAAACTCTTACTAAATGTTAAAAGATAAGTCACAGGTTCTCTGTTGAAACTGAATAAGATTTACATAAATACATGTGGTAAAGATACAAAACAAGGAATTAGATACTATCAAAGGTATAGAATAACAATACGAGCCAAGAACAATTACGAAACACTACTAAAATCATCAAACTCACCTAACTCCTTATTTTATATTTATGTGAAGCTCACCAAATCTACCAGTCACAGTATCAATAAGGTTTGCAGACCCATATAGGTGAGCTATACATGTTTTACATTTTATCAACTGAAATACAACTACATGGGAAGAAGTGATTACATTCACAACCTTTGCTATTGATTACACAATCCAGCAAATTACACACATGCAGCAGGTTGGTTTGGTTTTTTGGTTTATTTAATTATGGCAAAGCATACTAGGACTATCTGCCTAAGCGGAGGGATGCCTTCGTGGAGGACTTTCTAAGGGAAACTGACTCGCATACACGGGGAAAAGCACAAAAACGCCCATGAAGCCAGCCCGTTCGTGGGATTTGAACCTCAGACCAAACTACCGGTGTTCAGCGATTTTACTGCTCGCCCGCTGGTGGGCCACATGCAGCAGAAGCAAGGTAGCCCACATAAATGGATTTATCACTCTATGCCATAATGACAATGAATTCCTAAAATTTTTTAGCTACCACTGCACAATTCACCGAAAAGTATTAGCCGGCAAAAGATTAAGTACAAAAGCAATAATGGACAAAGATCGAAATTGTTAATTCCATTAAAGAAAGCTCCGTCATTAACATCCCTTCCAGTTGCAACTTGATGAACCTAGCCATACATATCGATCTAAGTTGGCTGAGAGGTACACTGTGGGAAAAAAGGTGTGTGTGGGGACAATTTTACATCTATAGTTTTACTGGGCCAATTGACAAAATTCAAAATGCGTTTTTCATGTCTCAAAAGTGTGACTTAAGATATACATTAGATTTACATATAGCATTGTTCTAACTTAGGTACTCTGACACAAAATTGAACTTTTTCTAAAATAACATACTCCTTTTTTTCAATATTTTGATTCTACGACTCAAATTATGCCTAGATATTACATTTTGTAAAATTTGATGCGAAATTTATGGAGAAATTCAAAAATTTATCTTGTCACAATTATTTTTCAGTTTGCGCCAAGAACAGTTCACTTGGCAAATTTTTAATATATGGCAACCGATTTTCCTTTCCCTTCCGTTATGCCGGAGTGGAAAAAAAAAAGGTATCTCATTCCTACCTTTTTACATTGTGCATGAGCGGGAAAAAATCACATCATTTCTACTTTCAAATAATTTTAACAAGTCTAAACCACATTTGCTGTTTTATTGCTTTCAACAAATATACCAAATTTTAAAGCGCACCAATATGTATTCATGTTCGTCTTTGGAAATTCTGAATAAAATACTGTAATTTTCTGTAGGTATGCTTAGAAATACCTCTACTTTAAGTTAAAAATTGTATATATTATAACTGGAAATTCTTTTTTGAAAAATTTATGAAAATCATTTAAAAATAAATCATAAAAAAATGGATGAATGTTATTTGGAATAAACCTGAATTTCAAAATGTGAAAGGAGGAATCAAATAAGCTTAATACTAAATATATACGAAACTCAATTAACATTGAAGAGTTCATTTTTTAAAAACTACATGTGGAGATTTTACAAAATTTGGTAGTCTGAACCGTGGAATCAAAATATGGAGGAAAAAATTGGCATGTCCTTTCACAAAGAGTCCAATTTTGTATCAAAATACCTATATTAGAACAATTTATATATCTAATATATATCCTAAGTCACACTTTCGAGGCATGAAAAACGCGTTACTTATTTTTATATTATTAATTGCGTGTGTTACTTATTTAAAATGTTCACATTGTTCTATGTCTTAAAATTATAAAGTTAATGATCCTAAAACTGCAATAGTATAATAGAACAAGTGAAAAAAATTGACAGTTTCACTCACGCATGTGTCGGATTTGCGCAATACTTTTGCGGTCCAACAAAACTTTTGTAAATATTATGGGGTTCTGGGGATTTCGCGACTGAAAAAAGTTTAAGAAACCCTGGTCTATAGCATTCATATCAGTTTCTTGAAAAATCTCTAACAGATTGTTTATTTTGTCAATCGTTTTTTGTCTATCAGTTGTGGGAATGTCCGCCACATATAAATATGCTTTAAAATTTGATATTATGCCTAGATCAATTGGATGGATTAATGAAATAGTATTTGGTGGCAGAAAAAAAAAAAACACTTCTATTGGAATACACGTTTTTGCGTCGAACAAATGCGTTGGACAGCCTATAGCATTATCAGATAAAAATAAAGCCTTTGGTTCTAGTTTTTAAACTCACAGGATTTAAAAGACAGGAAAAATGTTTACTAAATACATTCTTGAAAATTTTCATAGTGATCCAATTAAAAAAATTATTAATTATTAGGTTAAAGATTATTTATTGAACTCCCAAATTACTAGTAAAGATGATTTTGAAATTCCCTTCATTAATTTGGGATTTTGGAACGATAAACAAGCAGTGATTTTAATTTAAAGTCCCAATTAACATTAATCGCCCGGAAGAAGCATTGAACAAATTTTTGCACCTTGCTTTTTGTAATGGGATAAAAATGTATGTTTTTCCGCTCTTCAAAAAATAAATAAATAAAACACTTTTTACCAGCATAATAATAATTTGTATGTTATGAAGATTGTTTCTTTTTTAAAATGGAAGGAACCACTTCTGGCAAGCTACAAAATTTTTATTTGTGTTTCCTTCACTCTGAATATGGTTAAAACTTGCTCTTGTTTCTTCCATTATAACTGCTTGACTTAATGGCATATTACTTTCAATGACATAATCAATATGGATGAAAAGTTATTTTTTTATTTCCTCAATCACTGCTTCTGGAATGGGTACTTTTTATTGAAGAAGACATTGTGATTGTAGTTGCTGATGATATGACTTTTTCTTCATTTTTTGGAACTGTGCATATTGTTGAAGTAAACAAATTTAATGTGGCACTGATATCAGATTGCCATTCAACTACATCTAATTGTATTTGTAATTTATTATTTTAGTTTCCAGTAAAATGTTTTTTTTTTTTTCCCTTGTTACTTTACTTTCTTTTTCTTTGCAAGCATTCATTGTAAAATCTAAAATTTGCTGTATTTATCACAATAAAATAAAATATTATGTTTAGATCCTTATACACACAATAGCACTGAAGACAAATCAAAAATCAATTATGATACAGGAAACATGCATTCATACTGTAATGATGCTGCAGCTAACATCTCGACATGATCACATCAAGACCAGTAGTAAGCCTAACAATCCATGTGCACTATTGAAGCAAAAGCAGGCACCGATTGGCTAAAATGCTCTACATTGTAACAAACTAACCCAGCAATATGAATACCACATAATATCAGGAAATCCCAATACTATCATATAATATTGAAGCAGTATTAAGCAGGGTCTTACCGTATAAGGTAAAACACGGGACACACAGAAATAACATAATACATGAAAATTAGCTAAATAGTACTTTATGATGTTAAAGTTTTTTTTTGGAGGGGGGGCATGGTTAGCTGTAAGTTGCGAATTTGACAATTTCATTATT